CGGATAAAAGATCTAGGAGAACTCAAATACTTTCTAGGATTTGAGGTTGTTAGGTCTAAAAGAGGTATACACCTTTGTCAAAGAAAGTATGCTCTTGACATCCTTGAGGAAACAAGAATGATGGGAAGCAAGCCATTCTCTACACTCTTTTTAGGTAACACTAATTCCTTGTACAAGACAGAGAATTATCTGGATAATCCCAATGCATTTCACAGATTAATAGGGAAGCTCTTCTATCTTACTAATACTAGACCTTATTTGTGTTTTACTGTCAATCTTTTAAGTGAATTTATGAAGGAACCTACTAACTATCATTATCAGGCTTTGCAGCATGTCCTTAGATATGGTAAATCTAGTCCCTCAGAAGGGCTCTTCTTTGCTGCCAATTCTGACATTCAAATCAAGGGCTTCAGTGATTCAGATTGGGCCACATGCCCTAACACAAGGAGATCTACCATTGGCTACTGCATATTTCTAGGTTCCTCCCTTGTGTAATGGAGATCTAAGAAGGAAAGCATTGTCTCAAGGTCCTCTACAAAAGTAGAGTATTGTGTCATAGCTGCCACTGTTTGTGAAATATATTGGCTTCACTATCTTCTTCTGGATGTTCAGGTTCAGCCTACTGCTACAGTCGTTCTTTATTGTGACAACAACTTTGCCAGGCACATTGCTCACAACCAAAGTTTTCATGAGCGTACCAAGCACATCGAGTTGGATTGTCATGTGGTAGGAGAAAAGATCCAAGTGAAACTTTTATGTCTTTATCCCATTCTATCGGAAGAACAACTTGCCGACATCTTCACTAAGTTTCCTCACAACACTCATTTCAGATCCATCATCCCCAAGCTTGGATTAGTGAATATTCACAATCCAGCTTGAGGGAAGACTATTAATGTTTCTGTTGTTTTAGTAGTTTGTTGTTAGGTTTTGTTCAGTTTTTCTGTTAGGGATTTTTGCAAATCTCGTTTCTCTCTTTTCTCTTCACCGGAACCTTATATATATCTAGGGTTCTTGTATTTTCTTTTGTAATATCAAACACAGTAACTCTACATTATAGAAATTATGCAAGTTCATGTTTTTCTTATCTTTGATGAAGCATTTGAGTTGATCCTCTTCTCCCTCTTCTTCTTCCAGTAACCATAGCAGCATCCTTGTGAGCACTGTGCTCCTTCTCACTCTTGCTTCCAGACGAGTCTCGTTGTCTCTCTCTTTCTTTTCCTCTAACAGATGAAGACAGCACGAGATATTTTTATCTCTTGAAGGCTTTTGCATTATGGACCTTAGCCTTAAGGCTATTGGGCCTTTCTTTAATATGAATGCAGATGCAAGTTTTATTAAACTGTTTGATTGAATGCCTCTATGAACCTAAAATACTATTTATACAGATGCAATGTTGTGAACAAGTCTGGAATTACGATAAGATATGAAAAGTATAAATTGATCTGGAACAATACATGCAAAACTCAAAATCACATTTTGAAACCAATGTTAAAACCATAAGCGTGGTGACCCATAGGTAAGAAAATGTGAATGCAATGTCTATGCACTAAGATGACTTAAATGGTATGCCAATGATGCAACCAACTGCATATTGAACTGAAAGATTAGTGAATCGAAAAATCCTCTGTTGGGGTAAATGCTAAACCAGAACCAATGAACTGGACTACTAAAATTAGAATTCCCAATGCTTACTCAAATGTCAAATGTAAAGATTTAACAATTTGGCAATGAAGGGTAAGATGCAACGAATGTAATTTAAGCTGTAACATATCACTAACATAGCAGCAAAGTTAAAATAAAGAACTAGAAACTATGAAATTAAAGAACAAAGCAGAAAACAACTACTTACAAAAAGTAATTTCAGGATTAATAATCCTGTTCCAACTATTGAATTAATTTCAATTATGTTCAAAAAGACCTCTTGTTAACTAAGGCCCACTTTGGTTTTCTTGGATTCTAAAACAAAACCTCTGTTATACAGAGTTTAGGAATCCACTCCAACCAATTACAACTAAGAAATTCCGTTATCAAAGAACAATGGGACTAAACAAGAAACTGCAAAAGCTAGAAATATAAACCAAGATATAATAAAATTGCGCATATATGAAAATAGCAAAATTGAAGTTTTATTGAACAAGAACGTTAAAATCAAAGCAAGAAAGCAACAAAAACATGGAATAAAATATCATTTAGAGACAATTCTGAAACAAGCAAATAACAAGCAAGTTTTCATCAAATTGTACCCAACATCCTCCATCAAACAAAGGAATATGGTGCCACTGGCCATACCAGTGTTGGGGAGGTTCAATATAGACACATATTTCCATACTGGTAAAATATTGTCCGTTTTGGACCAAGTCCTCACGGATTTGCTTTTGGTATCACTCAAAAAGGTCTCTTGCCAATGGAAATATCTTATGTATATATATAAACACATGTTCAACTCTTTTTTTATCCGAGGTGAAACTTTGTTTGTATCGTACTAACCATAATCCAAACGAAATTAATAACACCTATACACATATATTCATTAGAGTACCCAAATTTTCTATACCCAGCGAATCAATTAAAAAAATATGCCTATTTAAACTTAAACTATAATTCTACATCAATTCATAGATCATAATTTATTATAAAAATGACTTGTGATTTTCTTACATTACGTTTCGTAAAGTTTTGGTTACATAAAACCATTTTATTTTATTTTCTAACATTACCACATATATTTATAATTAATTCTCACATGATTATCGTGTTAATTCATTCTTAAATAATTAAGCTAGAAAAGTTTTAATTAATAACATTCCGCAATTTTACCACATATTGTATAACAGTAATATAAATTTTAAAATAAGTAACCAATATAACAGTTTAGTAATTCAAACTTTCTCCAAACTAATTCAAACTAATGCATATTATTATTATTGACAGAACAATACATATCATCACCGTACCTTTGGTTACTTTCTATATTTACAAACAACCTGAATAAAATACAACCAACTCATCTTCCCACTTCATAGTACAAGACACCACAACTCTTAATCTTTAACAATCTGATCCTAATACTACGTTATACACTTAATCTCGTGACAGAATACAAATAATAGTATTTGGTTCCAATATAACACCAAGTAACAAATGAATACTCATTCAAACAGACCCATAATCAATTCATAATTACTCCATCTAGACTGGACTAATATACCATCCTAACTTCAATCCTGGTCAACCAAAATTATGCCAGCAAGTGATTTTACAACAAAGACAACCAGAAAAATACAATATTGAAGCATGATTTTTTTTTTTTTTTTTGCCAAGATAATGCAAAACAGACAGAGTAAAATGCATATATATATCAACCTAAAACAACCAAGTTTCTATGCACAATTATATTCTAGCATTATGTAATATCAGTTTGAATCCTATCTTCCAACTTACTCACATATACACTATCCTTATCAAGTCTGATTATGCATAACATAGTTAAGTATGTAATATTAAGTAAAATAAGCTATCATTTATAACATGTTGAGTCAATTAAATAACTTAACAGGACCCTTTTTACTTATTAACTCCTTACAGGCTACATTCAATTTTTAATTACCCATATTTCATTATAATTATTATCCCATTATTCCTAAATCTAAAAAGTTCACGTACCAGACCCTTATTCCCTCTTTCTTAACTTGGTCATACCATAATCTTAACTTTAACTCATTTACCACAACCAAGGCAGACCATATAATACCAATTCCACATACTGCCAATAGCATACTTCAAGCACACCTATGTCAATTAATGTCATTTAGTTTAACTCAAACTCTTACTCATATATTTGTACCTCAACTAGTATATCAACAACACGGTTTTTGTAGGAAACTATTTAAAGTATAAATTATCGATCTAGACAACAAAATTTCGAATTACGAAAATAGGCATTGTGAAGGGTCCAAAGACTTCAAATAAAGAGGTCGTGTCCCTGCACACATTTACCCATGAAATAAAATAAATTTATACATTTTTATTTATGTAATTACAATAATTTTGGTTAGAAATTATTTAATTGAAATCATTTTATAAAAAATGAATTTAATTACAAAAATAATTAAAATCATGAAGTTTATTTGTTTAATAATATTCAAAAAAGTTAGTTATTAATTGGATATAATTTTAATTATTTAAATCATTTAAATATATTATTTAAAAATTATAAATCATTTTAAATAAAAAAAATTAAAAAAGTGAAAGTGTGAGGGGTGCACGAGCTCAACACAAAAAGTCGTTAATTCCTACAATTTTAATTAATTTATATTTTTATTAATTTAAATTATTTATATTTAATATTTTTATTAATTTAAATAGTTTATAATGAAAAATAAGGTTATTAATTAATAATAATTTATAAAAAAATATGCTATAATAATAAAAGTTTAAAAAAATATATAATAAAATATAATTTTTTTTGAATTTTTAATTACATAATTACAATAATTATAGTTATAAATTATTTAATTGAAATTATTATATAAAACATTTAATTTAATTACTAAAATAATTAAAATCATGAAATTTATTTTTTTAATAATATTAAAAAAACTTTAATTATTAATTAGATATAATTTTAATTATTTTAAATACATTTAAATTTATAAATTATAAATTATTTTAATTAATAAAAAAATTAAAAAAGTAGAAATGTGTGGGAGGTGCACAACTTCAATAGGAGAAAGTCGTCAACTCTTACAACTTCAATTTTCTTTTAATTTTTTTTATGATGAAAAGCTGTGGTAATCGATTACAAGTTTGAGAAATCGATTACCATGCCCTAAAATTGTTTTGGGGTGTACGACTTCACTTCTAACCATTGTATGAGAGAGTCATGTAAAGGACATGACTTCTTCATTAGAAGTATCTAGACCCTACGACTTATCTATTTTCGTAATTTGAAAATCTTTTGCCTAGATAGATAATTTATACTTCAAATTTATCTAGTTTCGTACAAAAACCCAACAAGACAATTCTTTACCCAGTAATATATCATTTCTAATATGGACTACATAATAATACAAGTTAAAATTGAACATTTCCAGTGATCTATCTCATATTTGAAGTTCACCATATTTGCACTCGTACATTAAATTCTGCACTCCGTAAAATTCCTACACTACGTACATATACATTCAAACCAAAATATACTTATTCACCCATAAATTTTCATTTCCAAAATACATAACCGGCCATCGACATTCGCGAGATATTTGCATAAAGTTTTGATATTGATTACAACACTTATATCTACAAGGCAAAACATTTAATATTCTTACATGAATCACATTACGGATTGATGTTTATAGATCTACAAATTCATTTCAATATATAAGACAAGTGAATAGTTTCTCATCTTTCCCAAACAAGTTTCATCAGATTAAAATGCAGAACAATAAATATGAGACATGAAAAACAGAAATTCCAAAATTTAGCTCCTTCACACT